GTCATAGAATATTAAGCAAAAGAATGTTCTTATAAAGACATCTGAAAATGGTGGTTTGCCATGAAGTTTGAATTGAGAAGACAATAGAGTCTTATAATTTCATACTTTTTATCATTCTTCTTTATTTTGTTATAGTAATTAATATTTGCCTAGCCAGGATTAAGAGCAAGTGGGTTTTTTGCTTTAGGGCAAAAAAAATGAAATAGAAGTGTCTGACTTTTACTTTCATTCCTACAATTTGTCTACGCTTAGGTGAAGAGTGTTTCTTTCTAGCAGTTTGCTTTTCACTGGTTCTAATGTTTCCAAGTGGCTTGTGTTCCAGAACCCCAATTTAGCCAAAAATAATAGTCATGACATCCAGCAAAATGCAAAACCTAAGTAAAATGCCAAATACTGGTAACCTCGTCTCGTCTGGTTTGCTTAGGGCAAACAAGCCAACAAACAAACTGAATTTTCCCTCCATTGATAAGAAGTGCGTTTGGAAGCTTTACTGAGGTTGTTCAGAGATAATCTGACTGTGCTGCTCACTAAGAGGGCTGCTGCCTCACTGCCAATGCCAGGTTATGCTCTTTCTGAACCAAGTCTCAGGATGTCTGCAGAGACATTCCGAACAACTGCCCTGAGAGATTTCACATCAACGAGTATTATTAACCGGAATGCACAAGCAGGACTGCACACAGGGGTCCCTGTCACATTTAGCCTGGTCGACATTTACAAAGTCGAAGAGCGTCAAGGATTGCCGATAAACAATGTTGCTTTGTGGCTTTAACGTATTGCCATTTAATCAAAGGTTGCCTGCCACTTTGCCTTTAAATACCCTTTTGAGGTAGCTTGGAGAGATCTCTGCTCTTTTCAAGCTGTGACAGATTTCCTATTTAAGAGCAAGAAAAATCTATTGCTGAAAAAATATGCATAATTAACAGGGAAGTATAATGAAGTTGTTGCTTAAGCTCTGCTAACATGTTGGGGTATTTGCACTGGTGGGTTTAAAGTCTGATTTGTCAGTACCCAGCACTTCTCTGGCGAGAAAAGAAAGATGCCAGAATTTCCTGATTCTGCTTCAAAAGAAATACTGCATACAACAGCAGGGCCTGCAGGAGTATGATGGTTTGGTCTTTTTCCAGATCTCTTACTGTGTCTACCAATAACCAGGGAATCAACCAAATAGAATGATGGAAAGTATTTCTGCTTCCAGAGGGAGATTCTGTTGATGATCTTACATGAAATAAATGTTCCCCACAAAATACTGCAGTCTGCCTCTGCCAAAATCCACGTTAATGAACTCATACAGGACTGGAAAGTGACACATTTATAATAAACGCCCCTTGTTTCTTGCCCATGGCAGTCTCTCTAGTTACTCCTAGGAAATTCTTCAGTGAAATCTTTCAAACTATTGAAGTTGTTACTTCTCCACTGGTTTGACAGAGCCCTGTGGGCAATGCAGTTGCTCTAATAACTATGAAAATGGAGGGAAAGGAAACCATGCTGTTCTTCTATCTGGCCATGCCATTAGCCACGTGGGAAACCAGACCAGTTACTAACGACTTCGAAATACCCCAGAGCAGATAAGCACAAACACGTGACATGGAGCGGGAATCACACATAACCAGTACGTGTTCTTACTCCTGTTTGCAAAGTTTCCTCCTGATTTTCAAGACTTCGTAGACAGCATGACCTGTGAGAACTTTCTCAGGGAAAACTTCAGCTGGGAAAAACAGACGGGACTGACTTTCTATAATTTATAAAAGTGCAAAATTAGCAGTAATTTTTAAATAAATACTTTATGAAAAATATCTCCTTTATAGAAGTTCTCATTTTAAGGTATAAACCCATTTAATTTTGGCAAATCTTTAGAGGTGCAGAGGAAATACGATGTCATCTGTAAATTAGTCATCTGTTCTAATCTAGTGTATGATTTTTGACCTTACATATTTCTCTGAATTGTTTTCCCTTTCATAAGAAAAGCAAGTGACTTCCTTGTCAGCAACAGAGAGGTCCTAATTAGGTACAGAGAAAACATCAACAATATATTCATTATGTCTCAAAGACGCACAAAATCAGACCAGTGCCATCCCAGATAATGCTTATATTCGTGCTGGGTTTACTCGAAGCTTCTGTTCAAGGAGACTCCCCAGTATCCCACCTTCACCCACAGAACGATCTATGGTCTGATTCATGCTTGGAAATTCAGGAGAACTTTGCCCGCAAAGATTAGGTTATGAATCTGACAAATGAGAAGACAATTTGCATTTGATCAATTTCGCTAGCGGTTAAGAATCTACAATTTTGAGGTACCATGCAACTCCCTGCGCTGTATCCTAAACTGTAAAATATGTGGCATTTCCCCACCTGTTCTGCCACACTTATTTATAGACATCTTGATTTCTGAGCACGTGAGCTTATTTTTCAATATCCTTTCCATCTTGTTCCAAAATGTTGCCTGATCCAATCCCACAACACTTCAAACACAGAACACCATCTCTTGCCCACCCAACAATGGTGGGTCAAACCTTGTCCATTTCGTTTAAAAATCAAAGCAACTTACTGCTGTCATACCTAGAGATAGTCCCTTCCATGCCGGACCTGACGGAAAGACGTTTCGCTGCTTTCATTTGGTAAATATATTTGCCATCGTGATTTTGAAAAAAAAACCAGTAGAAAAACATCTGGCTCATTTCCCTCCTTCCACAATGTTTTGGCAAGTCATTGCTTAAAAGATGGGTGTAAATGCCTGCACCACAGTGATGACGCTGAGTTTTATATTTAGATTCAAGATGGGGGAGATTTCAAGGGCATACCAATTCAGCTATAGATAGTTTTTGAGTCAGTGTCATAAAATTGGTCACATTTTTTTTTTTGGGGGGTAACACAGAAAGAGCAAGAAGTGTTTTTGCTTTGTTTTGCCTTTTGTTTTTAAAGGGAATGAAAATGCTCCCAAATCTATTCTGGTACAAATGACAGTTTTCAGTTTTACAGGTTGGAAAGGATTATCAATACCCTTTGCAAACACCAACAAAATAGACTGAACAGAGAGATCCCCCTAGAAAGAGAATGAGCAAATTACTGAATTCTCCAAGCCATAGGAGACAACATCTAAATTCCATTCTCAAGGCATTGTATTCTCTGGTTTACCTTGAGATTAGCAAACATGGGACACTAAAGTACGCTTAATTACTGACTCGCACAGAATCTGCTACGTCCTTTACCTGGAAGCCACATTTACTCTCTAAGATTTTCCAGAAGGACATTCCAGAAGAGGTTGCTGCCATTGGCACCCAAGGAAGGCAAGTTTTAAACTGTTGCCCTTGGGATGAAAATGTTTGTGGACTTCAGGCCCTTGGGACCAAAACCTACAAGGCATTTATGAACAGGTGATATGAGAATTTTAATAAAAGTTGCAATAACCATGAAAACAGTGTCTTTAAAAATCTATGTACTATTAGTAACAGAGCATGCATAGTGCCAGGCATTTGTAACTATTTGGTCATAAAAATATGTGACTGTAATGATAATATTTACAGTCAACTTATAAAAATACATGTAATTCTGAACGGCAATAGTTAATCCTTAGCTCTAACCACAAGCCCAGAAGGATTAGCCTAATATGGGAAAGTGCAATGGGTAATTACAACATGGGCCAAGCTCTCACCCTCTTGAATTCAACATTCAAGAATGGCTCCTGTGGCATCATGGGACCTTCATTTGTCATAATTCCTCTCTAATCTCACAAGGTAAAACCAAAAATTCTCCAGAAATAAATAGGAATAAAATGGGAAAGGAACACTCACATGATAATGGCCACAGTGGAGAATATTTCTTTCATAGAATATTCATGCACAACCTTCAAAGAGGTTTCCTGGTCCCTGAAAGAATTCATAGGATGACACTGAAGATTTCATTTAATAAACATATGCATGGTCTAAGTTAGCATCTGATTACCTTTAACTATTAGAGGAAAAGAATTTGTCTGCCAAATCTCTTATCATTTAGGTGAGTCCCTCTTTGAAGCTCTATTAAACCATCATGGAGAGTGGTGCTCTTATGGTACTTTATAATGCAAATTTAAATTCAGATGGGATGAAACAAATCCATATTCCAGTTTAAATTCAGAAAAGTTGTGGCTTTTACAAACTTTTAAAGTCTCTCACTTTAAGGGAAGGACACGTTTCAACCAAATAAAACTATTCTATGTATCTGAGCTGTTTCTCACAGGTTTCTTCTCTCCTAGGAGTTGACTGGCCATCTTCCAGCAGTAGATCAGTTCTTAATTTAAACACCATCAATATTTCACAAATGCACTTAACAATGAGAATAAACTTGGAAAACTAGGAAGAGTTGGACAGAAGCTACTAAAAAACCCAGCAGTTTGGTGGTACCTGCAAATCATGATCTCATATTTTGGGATGTATCTTGGCATTCAGCAAATGGAATTCTTGGAAATGTCTGTTTCACAGTGATGGTGGGAGGTCAGATGATGCTTCGTTACATTCTTCCTGGGCTGAAGTTACTTCCGAGGACTGCGTGAGGGCATTTTGTGTGGTGTATTAACTCTTCCAGAACAAGAAATTCCATTTCAATGAATTATTGCTACAGTTCACTAAAGAGTACTGTGGTGTCCTGGAAAAGATAACGTTCCTTCCAAAATTCCACCCCTCTAGTCACTTGAATTACAAGAAATGTGTAGTTTCCTTAGTGACTTTGATCCTTGAAGATACAGCCTGAAAAGGAATTGTTTTCTTCGCCCAGATGGAGACTATCTAAGTGGAGGCAGGCTGTTCGAACTGCCACAGTGGTTGGGTCATTATGTCACGACCCTCACAGGCATTTGGCAACTGGCATGCTCGATTCTTTCTTTATAAACCAGCCTGCAAATTTTCTATGTGTGTGGAATTGTCATAGATAATCAGGGGGTAAAAATGACCCAAATAGGCAAGCTTTTAAAAAATCGGTAAATTAATGGCGTGTGGCACATTTGGGAAAGAAATGGACTGACGGTCCCAGCTGATGACCTCCCATCTTTGGAAACGGAAGTAAAGCAAATCATCACAAATGATGAGTAAACCTTGAAAAAAGTCTCATCTCCCCCACTTTAAAAAAAACAGTGGCTCAGAAACTTTCACCTCAGATATAAGATCATGGTCTGCAGGTCTATGAGGGCCAAATACCAGTTTATCTTACCAGAGCCATTCGTGAGGCAAAAGACGATGGTAAGAATAATAGCTTATGTTATGGCAATTATTTTCCATGCTCAATCTATTGATATTTGCCCACATGAACACAACTGAGAAGTCATGGATCACGTCTAAGAGAAACTCAACAACCTCAAGGTAGGACAAAACAAATTCCACTTAATAAAATAAAATTTGGCTGAATGTTTTTCATTTTAGGGACAATTCTCCTTTCCCTTAATATTCTGGTAAATTCTTTATTCATAAACCTACACGTGTTTTGTTGTTTCATGACTTCACTAATCTAATCACTTCATGTCCAAGCGTTGCCATCAGCATGGAATGGTTCGTGTCTCTTTTCTGAACCAATTGAGTCCAGAAGTTTTTTGTTTGTTCATTTGTTTTAGATTTTAATATTTAAAATTCAATTAAAACATGCAGCCAAAGTTGGTGGGAAACAGTAGCTCCCTTCCAAGTGAAAGAGCTGACTGGCAGGTTTTATAATCATTGGACATTTGTTCAGTCCTACCTGAAAATTAACTTATTTTACTGCTTGGCATGGGAAAAGGCATTTTTGAGTAATTTTCTGTGACAGGAAGCATGGTGTTCATCCAAAGAAGCACCCAACAGGCTGAGTCTGTCTGCTGGCGGGGGGGGGGGGAGCAGTTTTAAATTTGAATGCAATGAAAACGTTTACCTCAATACTTTTTTTGAGGGAGAATTCATCAGCAGTGACAGTTAATATGTCACCCGAGAGAGTGACAATCACCTTAGGAGGCTGGCCAACTGACAAGCACTTTTCAGGTAACAAGGACAATGATATTGCAAGAAGCTACAAAACAATATTGCAGTGGTTACAGTGACCACTGCTATGGTGACCGTACCTGGGTCAGTGTTCCAAATACCAATGCAAGGAGCGCACTAGATTTTGTAGGATTAGAGTATTTTCCTTACAGTTGATGGTGCGTGATGGGTGGTGGTGGTCATTTACCCTACTTCTCTCTGTGGCAAGTTTCCAAGTGATGTCTCCTTTCTCCTGTGTTAAGATCTATATTCCATGGCAGTATATTTTCACCCTCTAAAATAAGAACACCGTAACTATGGAATACCCCGACTCACACACGCACACACACACACACACACACAGACACACACACACACCCTTATACACATTTGCATGGACAATATGTGTAAAGTGCTCATTTGCAGTGAGTGAGCTCCCTAAAAACAACCAAATCAGCCTTCCCAAATACAGGGAACCCTTAAAAGCCAATGAAGAGCCACATCAACTATTTAGCTCTAGCATGAGATCTTAAACCTCGTTCACATGGTAATTCATTCAAATGCCATTTGTGGTTTTTTTATTTTGCTAAGTCATCCAAAGCAAGAATCTCAAAGACTCATAACATGGTATGTAATGATATGTGACTCTAATGGGCTCACATCTCTGTTTATTTTGCTTATTGCACAGTTGAATGATATTCTTGCTGATGCAACACTTAAAGTTGATTATAAATGGCCGTTCATGTGTCTATAATTGGCTAAGACTGATTTGACTTTCCAGAGAAAGGCTGGCCTATCTGCAAATGGACACTTTCCTCCACACAAACGTCAATGTACACTAAAGACAAATCTAAGGATATGTATATATAGCATATATACATATATATGTACACATAAAATGGATTGGGAAGTCCTTTGGTTTAGACGGGATTAAATATGTACTTCCCAAGTGCATAGGTTTCCTTTGACCGACCTGTTCAAAAAACAAATATGAAAAGTGCCATGGCAATTTTGACATTTCCTGTGTCTTTTCTGCTATTTGGAGGCCCCCTGTCCTCTCTTCTTCATCTCTCCTAAGCATTTTATTTTTAAAAGCAGTCAGTTCCTTTGGCCTTCTAACACTCCATTGACTCATCCATTCCTTGGGAGAGTTCTAAGATAACACCAAAAACTTATCTTTAGTGGAGAACAAGGTGGCAAAGAACTTTTTCCCCTTCTTTGAGTCCCTCTTCCCCCCAAGAAGTGGACATCTCCCACGAGTGTGTCATGAGCAATTCACTCTTGATCTGACTTGCCTTGTTACCCCTGGCCAGCCCAAGCTGCTGAGGTCTGAGCACTACCTGCCCTGCATCGTTGTGCAATACTGGAAAAGAAAAATAATCCATTAGTCTACACCCTTCAGACTGTGGTGACGTGGTCAGGGTTCTCTTGAATTTCTATGCATTCAATTTCCTCTCTCTCCTTTCGTTTGGCACGTTTCTTTTTCTTGTGGTGCTTTTTGGAAGGGGGGAAAAAGGTTAGGAACACAGGTAAGATAACAAAACAGTGCAGAAGTGTGCAACCCCCGGTAAGCAGCAAGCATTTGAACAGTGTGAAGGTCAGGTTCGAAGGCACAAAGAGGAGGGGGACCAACCCGATAAGAAAAGAAGTAACATTTTGCAAAATGGCTGTCCCGTGCTCTTGCAGGGAGCTTTTTATACATTGTGTTCGGGTGTGCTCAGTGGCTAATACAAACGTGTAAAGCAGTGGTGCACAGTGGTCAATGGCGAAATTTAAAGTGTAGATAAGGCACAAGATAGAAATGCAATCCAGGTCGACGTTCCATAATGTCATTAAGCCCAGAACGCCCAGCTCAATTGAGGTGACGCTAAGAATTAGCCAGAAGTTTCCCAGAGGGTGGATCACGAGGAAAAAGGTCAGGATTAACATCAGGAGGACACCAAAGCCTGCGATCAGAACAGGCACCGTGACAGATAAGCCATAATGGTCCATGAACACAAAGGAAGGGTTGAACACGATGAATCGGATGCTCTTGGAGAGGGACAGGGGCCTCAGCTTTTCCAGAACCTCTATGACTTCCTTCTGCTTGTCTCTGCTAGTCCTGGCCACCAGGTACAAGCGAGAGGCAATGATGTTATTCTCGTCCCCGGCCTTGGAGAAGATGATATCATTTCGAAAATGCTGGAATTCTGGCTTTTTTAGAAATGAACTTTGTAGGACAGCGATGAAGTCACTCTTGTTGTTGGCACTGATGTTGCTAACTTTCAGGAACTGGTAGTACTGCTCCACCCAGGACACTGCCGTGAACCCGCCGCACAGCTTCCGTAGATCCTCCTGGACGCTGCTGTTCCAGTACTCAAGAGGCTCGTAGATGTAGAAACCTATTACTGGGCTGTAGTTGCTGAAGTATTTCTGCTGAACTGCGGCGTATGAAACGCTTGGGGAGTCACTGGCGAGGAGATTGATGATGTTGGCTCTGTCACTGATCTGCAAGCACCCCATGAAGGAGAAGGAGGCATAAATGAGATAGAGGATGACAACAAACGGCTTCACATAGATGTTGGTGATCCATTCGTTGTAATGCTCACGGAGGAAGTGCTGGATAAAGTGGTGCTGGTAGGGGTTCGTCTCGTGATGGGACGTCTGCTGATGCCCATCACTCATCACTGCCTGGAACCACACGGGCTTGCGGTCCAGGTATTCCGCGGAAGGGATCTTACAGCAAAAGATGCTGTGGTAGCGGTTTTGCTCCAGTTGGCCAGCGAAGACTAGACAGGAGCCAAAGAATGAGAAAATGTAGAAGTAGTTCAACAGGATGGAGACACACATGTTCTGACAGAAGACCTTCACGGCCTCTATGTTGGTGAATGGGCTGGCACCCATGCCAAAGGTGATAAAGTACAGGGAGCTGGTCATGGTATAGGTCACCATCACGTCCGAATAGGCATCCGCTACCCTGTCTTTGAAGGGCAAATTCTCTTTGGTTCTCCGCCATCCAGACAGAAGCTCAAATACTCCTTTCGTTCCGTGACCTAATTTAAACAAAGAGGGAAAAGAAGAACTGTTTTCATTTCCTCCTATGGTTCAAGTGAATTCCTGATAGGTTATCTATGCTAAACAGCACTTCAGAGTCTAATCTTCAAAGTGCTTTGATCCTCCAACCGGGGTCTCAAATGCCAGTTGCATAACAGGATATATTTGGTTCCTGTTTCTACGTTAGCAAAGTCCAAACTTACTGGCATTCTGGGCAAAATGAAGCATTTATTGTCTGTTCTATTGATTTGACAAATTGTAAATGTAGTAATGTAATGTGACGTTATGAGATGATTTTTTCTTTTTTTTGGCCCCTGAGCACACGTTGTCTCCCTAAATGGACCAGAAGTTGTCAAGGGCAAGGGCTGTTATTCATCCATCTTCAGATGCCCCTTAGCCATTCAGCAATTCAGTGCCTTGTCAACTGACGTATTGACTGATAGTCCCTAACCTCCATTCCAAACTGACTTACATGCTGATTTAGGAAATTATTAGATGATTTTAAACACTTAAAAATGGCTTTGAATTGATTTTACAATATTAATAATCAGCTTGGTCGCCAAATCGCTTAGAAGCCAATTCCTACAGATTTGATTAATTCACAGTGGATGTGAGTCAAAAAGAGATCTGCCAGGTCACATAAAACACAGGGCAAGACCTTCAGGGTGAGAGATCACAGAGTGGGTGATGACTAAATGCTGGACTGCGTCATTAAAGTGGATGGAGAATGCTGCTTTTTAACCAATTTCCGTGCCCCCCTCTGATAGGGTCAATGGGCAAAGGTTCACTCAACAGATTTTACTTGAGTATCTACTATGTGACAGATACTGTTCAATACTGAGCTGATTTTTTTCCCCCAGGCACTTGACATCTTAAGATACCACCACATGCTTCCTTTCTAGCAAAAACCAAAGGCAGCTGGGAAAATAAAAGTATTATCCATACCTTCAATGCTCCTTTTTTCCATTTCCCTGGGTTAGCGCTGTCAATTACTATCCAGGGTAATACCAACTGGTAACTTTCTGACCTACCAGAAATCTTCATAGTTCACTCTTGCCCTTGGAGTCACAGCAGTGCTACGTGCAAAACTCTATGAATGGATGCAAGCCGTGCGTGGGCTAGTCTCCCAGAAACTCATGAGACAAAAAAGTAGCTTTAAAGGAACAAGGTGACCTAGCTTAAGAAGACCGGGAAAATGGACTTGGTGTGACACCTAGATTTTGGAACTCTGAGTTACCCAGTGCTTTAAGAAATGTATTATAACGGCTGGGGTTTTACTGTTACCACTGACTTTTGTGTTTTTGATAGCACTTGCTAATTGCTCTATATAATACTTCCCCTTCTTTGTCAGTTTTATTTGGGGTTTCAGTGTGCACGATCAAAAACTTTACTTCTCAGCTTATCTTTCAAATATTGATGGTTCAAATGATGCATTTCTGGGCAATGCAGTGCAACTGTGAGTCATCTAAGAGTGCTTACTAGAAACTGGAAGAAGATTTGTCCTAAATGGCATCACGGAATAAGAGCCAGTAATAAAAGCCATGGCCCACCTTCCTCTCCAATTCTCTTTAAAGAAAACCAAATTTCCACTTAGGTTACGCCATTGTAAGTGAGGCTGTCTTGCTCCTAACCAACGAAACTTTGTAGGTGACTTAACATTCACCAAAACCTCTTTTATGGACATCTAAGAATTCTTGCTTTACAGTTAATTTGACTCCAGGATTTATAGGTTTAAATGTGTATAATGCTAATCCTTTATTTTAAAGACATATTGCTCTATCCATCTGGGGAGTTTTTTTAAAAAATTAACTATTAATTGTTATTGCATTGGAGTTCTTTTTAAAAATTGAAGAACAGTTGATTTACAATATTGTGTTAGTTTCTGGCATACAGCATAGTGATTCAGTTTTATATATACATTCTTTTTCACTATAGGTCATTAGAAGATACTGAATATAGTTTTCTGAACTATACAGTAGGAACTTGTTGTTTATCCATTTTACATATAGGACTTTGAATCTGGTAACCCCAAAGTTCTAATTTACTCCCTCCCCCGACTTTCCCTTTTGGTAACCATAAGCTTGTTTTCTATGTCTGTGAGTCTGCTTCTGTTTTGTAAATAAGTTCATTTGCATCATTGCTTTAGATTTCACAGAAAAGTGATATCATATGGTATTTTTCTTTCTCTTTCTGGCTTACTTGACTTAGTATGACAATCTCCAGGTCCATCCATGTTGCGGCAAATGGCATTACTTTATTCTTTTTTATGGCTGAGTAGTATTCCACTGTATAAACATACCACAACTTCTTTATCCAGTCATCTGTCAATGGACATTTAGGTTGTTTCCATGTCTTGGCTATTGGAAATAGTGCTTCAGTGAACATTGGGGTGCCTGTATCTTTTCAAATTGGAGTACTATCTGGATATATGCCCAGGAGTGGGATTGCTGGATCATACAGGAACTCTGTTTTTACTTTTTTAAGGAATTGCAGTGGAGTTCTTTTTATCCCCAATACAAAACCGATTTTTTCTCCAAAGTTCTCTTCTCTGGGTTTCTAGTCAGGAAAGATGTTTGTCCTAACAGGTAGAAAGAGTTATGACAACTGCATTTATGAATAAGGTAAGTTTTTTTCTTTCTTTCTTTTTTTTTTTTGGATCCAATGCTCTTGCATTTAATTAGAAGCTCAACATCTATGTGCATTGAGTTTAGTCCAATGATTCTTAACAACAGTCATTATTCATTTCTATCATCTGTAAGACTCCTTGGCCAGAGTACTTGTTCTCTTATTCTCTTGACAAAAACAATATTAGGACATTGGTTAAAGTAATTGAAGTAATTCTTTAATTAGAGCACTTCTCTTCTGAAATGAGGACTCCTGCTATCTTTGTAGTCACAGGGGGGTAAAAGGCTACCCGAGGCTATGGCTAAATTTGGTTTGTCTTTGCTAACCGTCACTTCTATGGAGTATTAGGTACATTATGTAGGCCAGATTGTTGCTTTCTGTAGGACAAAGGTCTGTATGTATGGGAAGATGAAGCTAAATTATATTAGGTTAAATAATCACTTTAAATGTGATAAAAACTAAAAACACAGTTTCCAAACTTTGGAGCTGGCTATGTTTTATGCAGTTGATAGGTTTAGATATTTTATGGAATATTCTTATTGATGGTCACCCATTTGATTTTCACCATCACCTGGCCACTTCCTCGCAGTTCAGGTCCATGACCTACATCAGCCAGCGTGGTCCCCTCCCTCCGCACCAGCCTGCCATCATCAGTCTTACCTTCTTGGTTCCGTTCATGCTATTTTCTCTGCCTTTCAGTGCCTCCCTTCATTGCTGCTCATATTGAAATTCTACCTATCAGTCTGTTAGCTCAGTTCCCTTCTTTGTCTTGAAGACATTTCTGATAATTCCAGACATATTGATTTTTTTCCTGCTCCTTAAACTCCTGCTGCACTAATTAGTTACTCATTTTGGCATGCAAACATGTGCTGTTTTCCTCTGGAACAAAACAGTTTTCCATCTCTTTGGTTTGACTGCAAATACTTCAAGGTCAGGGAGCACATTTCATGTTACTTTTATTCTCTGCAGAACATCTGGCAAAGTGATAGATGCCCACGAAATCAATGGTAATTCTTGATTCTAGATGAGTCTAGAAAATGTATCTTTTAATGACTTATTCAAAAATTTATTATACACCTTTATACCTATATTGTGTCCAGAGGAGCTATATACTTTTCATGCAATTGAGCCCAATATATATTTATTAGAATTTGTTACACATGAGGATCTGTGCTGGTCAGTATATAAGACATAAAGGTAAACAAGAAACACAAACTTTTTCAGTATCTGTTAGTCCAGAGGTCATTTTTACCCTGGTAATTCTGAGACAGAGATCAAAGCTTCTAATATACATGAGTTTTAGAAGGTGTTCTGTACATTGTGGGATGTTGAGAAGCATCCTGGCCTCCACCTACTAGATGCCAGCAGCACACTCCACAGCTGTGAAAACCAACTGTCTCCAGACATTGCCGAATACTGTCTGGGGGACAAAACTTCCCTCAACTGAGAATTATTGGTTTAGTCAAAAGAAAAAGAGACAGTATACACACACATTCACACATATACACATTTTAATCACCTTTTTCTGATTATAAAAAGGACATATTTCCATTAAAAATTTGGGGAATATTGAAAAGATAATGGTGAAGAAATTATTCCATAGTCCCATAATACAGATAACTGCTGTTAACAATTCTGTGTATTTATTCTAGCTATATATGTATGTATCTTGTCTATCTATCTATCTATCTATCTATCTATCTATCTATCTATCTATCTATTCATCTATCCATCTATCCATCCATCCATCTATCCATCTTTCCATCTATCCAGATAAAGAGCTACTTAATTATTTCACAAAACTGGGCTCCTACAAGGAGAAATTAGGGTTTGGGATTATCTTGTTGCTCTGTCCAGTTGGCCTGTCAACCACGGAGATCCTGTTTTCCTAACCTCTGCAGTGTTCTCTCTCTCAGATTCAGCCTGGTTCCACCTCTCTTTACCTCCACAGTGGAGATGGCTTTGGGGGGGACCTCTGGGGCTCTCTTTTCTCTTGGTTTCTTACTATTCCTTTCGGTTTCCATTCTGAGGTTAGAACATCTGATCACTTGAAAGAATCCCTAACTCTCTACATCTGATCACTTGAAAGAATCCCTAACTCTCTACATAGCATTTAAAACAATTTGTGTTCACTATTTTCTCACTCTTACCCTGAGAGTCCTATTTCAATTCAAACAACACAGCTGAAAACCAAGACACCGGTGTGCACTCAAAAGGCAGGTGGTCCACCATCTCAGATGATGGTGTGTGAAGCAAGTGTGACTTGCCCCACGGAACAATGACCTGAACAAATTCCAGTCCATCACTTCCTGGTACCCGAGGGCTGGCAGTCCTCAC